TTTGTCTCAAGATGCACACCAGTAATGTTTTTTTTCTAAGGCACGTTTATGAAAGCCACTTAAACTGAACCTAATCCTGGCTTAATTTAAGTCCTGTCTGTCAAACTGGGCCTTTACATTTTATTTTTGCTTTAACTGCTTTGCATTGTAACCAATAAACAGCATCTGTTGATAGGGTATCAGGTTTCCTTCAAGCTTAATGCAGGCATCATCTGAGGAGTGCCTTACTCCTTATACCAGAGGTGCCCATTCCTGTTCCTGGAGATCTACCTACTTGCAGATTCAACCCTGATCAAACACACCTGAATAAATAGAAATAACCTAGAAATAGGTTCAGTTGTATTTGATCAGGGTTGGAGCTGAACTTTGCAGGAAGATAGATCTCTAGGAAGAGGATTAGGCACCCCTGCTTTACTTTTTGTGGAATTCCAATTCCATGTAATTCATCGAATCCTCTGTCATCTAAGATCCAGTCTTTCTTTTTTAGGAGTATCAGTCTCTGTAACTCATGATGTCTAATATGACGGATGTCCTTCCTCTGTCGCACGCAGTTGTTTTCTTGCACTCTTCCCTTTGTTCACTCACTGTAGTCTTATCTCTGCTTGTGGTTTTATCACCCCAGTGTATCCTCTTGTTAACCTTTGTGGCTGGTTGCATGCACCAAATTTGTGAATTTCCTTCTTTCTTTTTTTTCCAAACCTTTTGCTCATTTTATCCTGCTCTACGTCATAAACAAAGAAAGTCAAGTACATTTGTTTATACTTTACATCAAGATAATTTTAAGTATTGCAGGCACTTTCCAAGCAAATAGCATTCGTTTTTTATATGGCATTAATGTAAAGACAAGTAAACAACATTTTACATACGACATACAAATCCATTTCTTACAATGCAAACATTTCAACTTATTTGGTTATATGCCTGACTTTTGTCTTCCCTCCAAACAAAGGTCTTCTTTATGGCTTCACGCTGTTTATTGTGATTGCTGGTGGCTACGCCAAACGTTTACAGAGGTTTGTGTGTGCCAGGTACCATCCTGAAAGAGAGAAAGTAAGAAAGTTTCCTATGCACAATTATCATCAAAATGGCCTTTACTAGTCACAGATATAAAGTTTTTGTCAAATATTTATTAAGCTGGTCACCCTTCTAATGCTTTTATCTATAAAGAGAATTATGTCTCATGGAAGAGAAACACAGTACTGTGCAGATGTGGCTTGTAAAAGGACAATGACTGAACTGTTTTACTTTCAGTTTGCTTTTTCTATGAATAGTTTATACTAAATGTTTGCATGTTGCAGAAGAGGATCCTGTACCTCCACAGGCATATTCTCACTCATCGTAGGTCTTTAGGAAAAGCCCTATTGAGGGCAGTACAACGAAACAAGGTGGACCAGCAAAATAATGGCTTTATAAAAACACTGGCCAAACAGTGAGTATAAACCACAATAGCACACTCACTACTAGATACATTATTAGTGTGGGATCAGTATTAATTTATTTTTAATTAAAACTTTTACTAAGCAAGGACACATTAAATTGAAAGTAACAGTAAAAAAAAAATCTATTTTAAATCAAAATTCTTTTGAACTTTCTGCTAATCAACGATTTCAGAAAAAAAAAATCCACACTTTCCACAAAACCGCACAACATCACAGGAATAAATTGTATTTTAAAATATATGTTAAGTTATAATATTTTACAATATAACAGTTCTTACTGTATTTTTAATCAAATAAATGCAGCTTTGGTGAGCATAAAGAGACTTCTTTCAAAAACACAAATCTTACAGAGCACAAGTTTTTGAATTGTAGTTATCTGTTAGGTATTATCTGAAGGTTAATGCATACATCTTCAATTTATCCAGTAGAAATATGGTTTTAAATTAAAATAAATTCACACAATCCTCGCCTTTTTTTTTTTTTTGCAGCCTGCCGGGGGGTTTCATCATAGCCAGGCTCCTGGATATCAATAAAGAACCATGCATGGCCTGTGGGAAAATGTTGGAGACGAGAGGTCATGATGATGAAGTGCACATATGCCCTACCACTCACTGCACAGGTTGGTTTTCTCACTCTTGAGAAATTGTTGATTTAAGATAATTTGCCTGTCAAGGGGAAATAGACTGTTAGATCAACCTGCTAGACCGAATTCATTTGCTTTTACAGGTCGTTACTGCTCGTCGTGCTTCAGACTGATGGGGAACCTCTGTGCTATCTGCATGGGACCACTTGCGTTCCAGGAGGAGCAAGAGCTGTACGTCACATGACAGAACAATGATAGACACCTTTATTTGATAGCACAAGTGTGTGTGTGTGTTTCTCATAAATTTAAATGATGGAACGTTTGAAATTGAAATTTTTCGGATTAGCTTTTATTTTTACATTTTAAAAATGGGCAGGAAAGTTCTATATACATATGCTTGTGAGTTTCAGAGACTCCAGCGATGAGGAGCAAGCTGATTTATTGGAGGCCGCTGAAACATCACAGCAGACTAGTCAGGGCGTAGAGATGAAAAAAGTCACGATCAGGTGTGTGTGTAGTGTAATTAAGCAACTTTGTCACACATTTAAGTTGTACAAATGCAGAGTGCAAATTAGCAGAGCAGTAGTAACTTATGTCTTTTTATCTGTTTCAGTTTTTCCAATCAGGATCATTCTGTATGGCTCAATGGACAATCTAGCCATCAAAATATAGTTGTCAATAACAGAGTTTGAGTCCAAAGTTTCATTTTTTAGCGAATTTATTTGTACAGAGAACCGTTTTCTGTGGTGTTGAATAAATGTATGCTAAACCAGGTGCTTGTATTTTATTTAATTATTATCCACCATGAACAACTGTAACTTTGGTATACGTGATGAAACTACAAATATTTTACAAATGTTACCTCGGTCACATCTGTCACAATGCGGTTAGTCTGGTTACATTGCTTACATAGTTGTCAAAGGAATGTCGAGTAGCCTATGTGCAGTCTCTTACTGTAAAACAAATCGTCTTTCAATGTCTTTTTTTAATTATTTATTTTTTACATAAAACTGAAAATGTAAAAAATGAGGCTAGTCTCAGTCTGCATCGAAAATTAGCACACATTCCGTACAAGACGTACTCCCATAAAAGCGAGGACATACCCTTTGTGCACGTGAAGAGTGGGCGGGATACCGAGGCGCTCTGGTCAGGTGATGAAATGCAGTCACTTCACTTCACTTCACTTCACCTGCTCTAGTTTCCGCACAATCAGGACATGAAACAAGCCCAATGGATCCACAGGTAAGTCTTTCTTTTTGTTGTATTTATTAAATAGGATGATCCACCAATCGCAATATTTTACATAAGGCTACCTTTTGTCGTAGTTCGCTTCAATATAAGGAAATGAATTAAAGCGTGCTTTTGTATCCGTCTAAATGAATTAAATTTGATAATAAAAAGATATAACTGATGTAGCCTATATAACGTTACTTAAATTTAATTTGTCCAATGTGGTGTTGTGAATTATCACTGCCGTTCAAACACATTTAGGCTACAAGTTAGGCCTAAATTATTTTAAACAATACTAGTAACTTAGTATATGAATATTTTAAAGCTTGTCACTTAAAAACGATAAGACTAAATTAAATTAACTGATTTTACCTTGTGTTTTGTTTCTTTTTTTTGTGGCCAACGCCCAGGGAGTAAGTA